CAGCGAAGCCAGCAACTCAACCTCGAGAGCTTCAATATTAGCTTGGCACGAGGGGGCTTTGCAGGAGACAATGGCTCACTCGAGGATGTGGTTGCGGTTTGCAAATTAGGCCTCAGTTGTGTTTGAATAGTACTGTGGGTTGTAATATTTTTTGCTGCCATTTTACGCAGACCCAAGTAAAACCTCTCAACACAACAAACTACAGACTAAAACAGGACTAGAATTATGGCCAAAAAGCGCGAATGAATAACAATTTAATCGAAATCGGCGGGAGCTCCCAAACTTGCGTCCTACTCCACCAAAGCTCAACCCCAGGGGATCAACAATATATCTTATAAATTTATACTGGTAGTTGAATCTGTGATTTGATTTGGCAAAATAGGCAAACTAAAGAATTCAGCATATTTGGCCTAGTGACAGCCGCTGCCACCTATAACATTTTATTTTCTTAATACTAATTTTTGCTTACTACTTTTCAATTTGCTCTTTTCAACCATCCATCTTCCTCTGCTTGTCCAATTTGGGGTCAACGGGGGGGGGGGGAATAACTGTGATTAATCTTAGATTAATCACAGATTAACATAAGTGCATGTCTTTGAACTGTGGGAGGAAGCTGGAGTACCCACAGAGAACCCATGCAACCATGGAGACAACATGCAAACTCCACACAGAAAGAATTTAAACCCAGGATCTTCATTCTGTGAGGCAACAGTACTTCACACCATGCCACTTGAAGCCAATTTATGTAAACTTATGTCAAACTTATTTTACATCATGCCCCAAATACACTTTTACCTTGTGGACCAGACCAGGGAAACTCCTGTTTCTATCACTATACAGACATTTAACTACAGTTCCCTGAGAAGTCTTAATATACAGAAAAGATGCATAATTTTAACTGTAAGTCTCAGTTTTTCTACATAATAAATGTAAAAACAGAAAAAAAAGGTTCTGGTAGCTCATTGACTACACTAATGTTTGAGTAGATATTTCTACACTAGCTAGTGAAACACGACAACTTTCGGTCATTTAACTATTGATCAATTATTTTTCCTTTGTGCAGTATCAATAGAAGTGGGAGATGTCTCTATCAATAGAAAAAGTATGGGTGCCAGGGTCAGCCTTATGTTTGATATGCCTGATGTAAATAATAAAAATGTTTTTTCATGCCTGAGCATTTAGATTTTCCTGAGTTTAATCTTTAGAAAAGGAAGATGAATTTCTCCCCCAACCCACTTTTCTGCATGAAAGCTAGTTTTGGCTGCAGGTGGTAGTGGGGGGCAACCACAGGGGGTAGTTCCACATGTATTCATTTGGAAGATTCATTTCATTTATTTGTTTAGGAATCTGAAAATCTTTCACTGGTTGGTGAATGTGTAGACCACTATACTATAGAGCCACTAGCTCACTTAATACCCCAATATAACAACAAGCTTGCACTTCTCTCACAAAAGGATTCTAATTTTAATTTCCTGGCCACTCTACCCATTACGAAGTGTGTCATAGTGTTTTGGTGCCCACACTAGGCGGGTGACAAGTATATCCTGCTTGTCCCAAATGCTCTGGTCCCAGCAGTACTCTGGAGACAGCAGCCTGCTTGGCTTATGAATCCAAAAGTACTTGTTTAGATGGCTCTCATCGTGCCACAGATCTTCCACATTATTAAGTTTATCCTCTATGATGCCTAGATAACAGGCATCTACCAAATGCTTTACATTTTGCCACATTCCTCCAAAGATAGCAGCATGGTAGTAAAAATCGCCAGTTTCCATGAAGGCTTTAGATTTGGGGTTTCTGTCGTAGGTAAACTGGGCTTTTGGTAATTTATAAAAGTGGGCATGGAGCAAAGCCACAGAATCACCCAGTGCCTCAGACCCAAATCTCCCCTTAAACTCCTGATCCACATCAAAACAGAAGACATAATGAAATCTGTGACGGATCTCTGACTCTATAGCTTCTGATATTGTCCTCATTCGCATCATAGAGATGTCCTGCCACCTGGCGTGCTTTTCCACCTTGACAATCTTTATGTATCGCAGAGAAGCAAGTGTGATGTTTGGTACTTTCTCCGTTGCATCTGTGAACACGTAATATGTCACTGGTAACCCCACCATAAAATGTTTTTCTGCTGAGGTGAGGAAAGTCTTGAGGTAGGCATCCAGGTACCTTAATTAGAAACAGAGAAAAACAAATGAGATGTTTCTAACGAGAACCATCATCATCATCAATTTTTTTCTTGCACAAGCTTTAATGTCACACAAGTAATTTCTTGTAGTCTGAGCCAAAGTGGGATGTCCCCCTTTTAAACAAAAAGACCTAAAGTAGTTAAAATTCCCTGATTCTAAACGTCCAAACCTGATAATAAAAAGAAATGCTCTGTGGCAGAACCAAAGCAAAAACAAATACATTACTTCAACTATATAATAATTCCTAGAACAAATAAGTAATATTTAGGCAAACACACATTAAAACAGCAAATACTGTCATACAGTGTCATACTGTCATATACTTTTCCTCTTATAAAAATAAAAAGGGATCCTACAGAAGGAAGTACTTTCATGCAAAAACAAAACCTTTTTTCCAGCACATTTGAATAAGGAAATATTTCAGTCTCTGGAAGTCAAAGAAATTATTTTACTGCTACGATATATTCTTTATCATTAACATTGCATTAAACTTTATTACAGCTACTGGTATCAGATTAACATTTTATTACAGGTGCAGCTATAATCATTGTATACACACATTGCATGTTGTGCTCATTAAGAATTGATGCTCAGTCTTTTGAAGGTTTCAAGCTTCGTTTGGCGTGATGTCCCGACGATCTATTGTGTAAGTGACTTGGAGCAATGGAAGGTTAAAACCGCATTCACGCTTACAGACATATATGATTTAAACATAGGCCAGGCCGAAAGCCAGGAATTCATTTAGCTTCTAATTGCATGTGAGCTTGCCTAGTAACAAGTGACAGATGAAGAGTCAAGAAAGTGTAAAGTCCCCAGGGACTATTCGGAGAATGAGTTTAATTACCATGTATGGAAGAATGTCCTAGAAAGAGGAACGTCTCTGTCTATTTTAGCTAGGTTTAATTGATTATTTACTGTAACTGATGCATATTATGTTCTTTTGTGACACAGAAGGGGTTGAACCCTGACATGAATAAAACCATTCTGAAATGAGCTGTTTGGTGAAGATCTATGCTGATGTGTTGCAGTGTACATCTTCCCACGCGTGTGCTCAATAAAATCATCGTTTGACTATCTCTTCTGGGCCAGTGTTGGTTTTGTTCCTTGCCTCAATATTTTGAATCGGGACAAGTCCTTATGCATTCATCCTCATAAGTTGAACACAAATTGAAAACATATTGAACAAGCAAAGAACAACAAAACCCAATCTGATCAGATGTCTGCGTTTCCTACAGTCTATTGCTCAAGTGCCAGTGGTTAGATAAGAACCTACTCAGCAAGTGACAGCTGTAATTTATTAAAAATTCCTAATAAAAGATGAAAATATTCTTACAAAAGTAGTTAATAACTCCTTTAGTGCATCAGCAAGAAAAACTTTGATGATGATGGAAAGGAGACAGCAGCTCTGGCCATAAAACTGTCATGCTAAAGAGGTGCAAGCTCATTCAGCACTTTTAGATTACTGTTAATGAGAATGTTCAGTCTGCCCCAGGGCAGCTGTGGCTACAACTGTAGCGTGCCTTCACCAGTGTATGAATGTGAGAGTGACTGAATAGTGGTATTGTGAAGCGCTTTGAGGGGTCCCGAAAAGCGCTATATAAATGCAATTTATTATAACAAGATGTTTTGTCAACACAACCTTTATTTTTCATTCATTTTTTAATTCTCCCTGTAGATATTTACTGTTAACCATGTTCAAGCCTTTTAATTCAGCAGATATTTTTGTTATTAATATTTACTTCACACTTTTTTTTTCAGTTGTCCTCGCAGGAGAGCCACTGCAGACATATGCTTTATAGAATATGATGCTGAACATTAAACAGCATATAAAGTATATAAAAATTAGCTCAGTCTTAAACTTATAGAACAACAATATTAATCCAGGTGACACTGATGTGGAACATTTCCTGCAGATTCATTGTTTTTACTTTGATACTTTTTGCTCTTTAGGCGTTGTTGTAATATTTTGATGATTGTTTTCCTAAAGGAAAATTTCAGCTAATGGCAAATAATAGTAAATCATTTTTCTTAATATAGTAGATATTTATTCAACTAAAGAGGTAATAATATTTGCAATTCTTCAGATAGAAAGGAGTTCAGAAAGGTGAGGATCACAAGTTGAGTGCAGACTGGCAGCCTGAATGCTATGTTTTTTTCATTTCATACGTGTATCTTATTAATTCCATAACAAGATAGAGGAGGAAGTTGTTTCTGTGGATGTACAGGGTGGATTGTACATTTGCTTGCTAGGCAAATGTGTAATTCACTATACAATGGGGCCTTTACACTCAAGGAAATATCCTGCTTTCAGTATCTCTACAAATATGAATTATGCAAATTATGCAAAATTTGTGATGTAATTATACATACAGACAATGCACTCCAACGGTAAAAACTAGGGATGGGGTTCTGACATAAACGGTAGTAACCAGACCGAAAAGCAGCGCACATTTCGGTGCTTT